TCCTACAGCTCACTGAGAGTCAAAAAACCTTTTTGAGGTGATGGCACAAAGGAGCATTGCAGCTTACCCAAAGCCTGGGCCCTCAAAACCCAGGAATCTTAGTGCTCTGTTGCCTCTGCTGTGAAACCAGCTGGGGCAGACCGAACCTGCTTCTGCACACACTGTCCAGTAAGCTTCTTCTTCCAGTGAGGAAGTCTAGATGCCTCACCTCAACTCAGTCTGCTCTTATGGAAAGAGGCCTCATGGAAGCGTGTCAGGGTAGCTAGCCTCCCTCCCCATTCCTGAGCCTCTGCTGAGGGGTACTGAGGCAGCCTCCACAAGGGTCCAGCCTAGAAAGTAAGGCCTCTCTCAGGGATAAAAGCCCTACCCTGGCTTCCAGTCTCTCCCACCTGGTCCCCCTGTATCACCTTGGGTGGCTTGTGGCCTGCTGCTCCAACTCTATGCCTTCTACTTCCAGATGACTCACTGGCCGTTCAGAGCTGAGTATCATGGAAACCCCTACACTGGGGGTGGGGAGGGACCAGGCCTGTGTTAGGGAAAGCTGAAGAAGTAAAACCCTCCACAACCCTGCCCTGGAGCCATCCTGGGAGCAATGCTGGCTTCATCCACAAAAAATTGTCTTCCCACTTACTAAAGGGGTACAGTAGACACATAACAGATCATCTTTGTTGGTCCCATATATAGTTGAGGTCACTGAGGCTCAGACAGAGCCAGCAAGTGGCAAAGCAAGTCTCCAAAACCCATTCTTTCTATCACCCCAAGCTGCCTCTGTAAAGAACATTTGTCTGATTTCCATAAAATCTTGGTGCATAGTGTCACTGGGTAAGTGTCAGTGTGGAGGAGGCTCTATGCTCTGGCATGTAGCACAGCATTTAGGGGAACAGCTCTACTATATCCTGGCTATGTGTTCTCGGGCAAGTTCCTTAATATCTCTGGGCCTGAATTTCCTTATCTAAAAATGGCAATAATAATTTTTAGTACCTTATAGGGTTGTTATGAGGATTAAGGGAAATAAGTACCTGGCACAGTGTATGTGTCATTAAATGTTAGTGAAGATGGTAGGGATAGTGACTCCTGGGTCTCAGGGTCAGGATGAACTGTCAGCTCATCTCACAGCCCTAGTGGTCACCTCGGGGAGCCCAGCCCAGGTAGACTGTAGGATGTGGGGAGTGAGGGGTGGGGGGAAGATGTAACACCCTGAAGTCAGATAACCTGGGGCTGAGTCTACTCACCAGTGGTGGAATACATGACCCTACTGTCTGCCTCACAGGGAGTGGTGGGGACCTACTGGAGTGACATGGGACTTGCACTTTGTAAATCTGTAAAGCTCAATTCAAGGTGTTGTCATCTTCCCTAACAACCGTGCATAGCTCTCAAGCGCCCAGAGCAGAGTCTCAAATTGCTGGGGGCAAAAGTGATGGGAGGAATGCTGCAAGGGAAGGGGTGTGAAGGTGATCTAGCAGAACTTCAGAGGAGTTTCACCCCTCTCTGTCACGTATAATGAGGTTCAGTCCAAAATTGTTTCCTTTCCGTAAAGTAGGGGATCTCTGTTAAAGGGGATTAAGAACAAAATCCCTAATCCTGTGCTGTCCAATACATTAGTCTTATGTGGCTATTGAGCAGGTGAAATGTGGCTTGTCTGAATTGAGAAGCGCTATCAGGGTAAAATATATACCAGATTTTGAAGACTTAGTACAAGAAAAGATGCAAAATATCCTAATAATTATTTTATATTGATTATATATTGAAATATTGTGAACATACTGACTTAAATAAAATATATTGAAATTAATTTCACCTGCTTCATTTTACTTTTCTTTCAAACATGGCCACTAGAAAATTTATTTTTGTTGGTTTAGTGCTGTCCTAATCAGAACAGTAGCTACCAAGTACCAACTGTTTCCACATGCCAGGCCCTTTATGTTCATTATTTCATGTATCACTCGGTGCAATCCAATGAGGCAGATAATATTATCAAATCCATTTTATAGATGAGGAACTGAGGCTTGGAGAGCTTAAGTGACTGACTAACTCAAAGTCTTTGAGCTAGTGAACTACTTGGCTGAACTGGAGCTCTGGCTTTGGGATTCAACGCCAGATCCCTCCCACCCCTTAACCACGCCCTAGGCAGCAAAACAAGCCCCTTCCAAATCACATCCTTGTCTACTTTTCCTGCCTCCCTCCAGCAATACATAACCCTAGTTCCTCTACCTGGCAGATACCTCTTCCCTCCTCCAGACTTCTTGATTCAACCTCCTTTTCTAAGCCCCTACAACACAAGGTCTCAGTAGTAAGGAGCAGGCCAGAATCTGGACCTAGGTTTGGCCGCTTCCTTGCGCAGGCCTACACCCATCCAGAGCCGGGGGCCTTCTCTTCCTCAAGGCACCGCCAGGAAGCTCCCCTCCCCCATCGCGTTCCCACATTCCAGGAGAGGGGGGAGGGCGAAGGGAGCAGTTGCTTCCCGGGCCCCTTCCATCTGCATCCTTCGGCCCGGCTCGCTGCGCCACCCCCGACGTGCCGGGAGAGACTTGATATCCTGTCTCGGAGCCCCGGGCTGTTGCTATTTCTTCGTGACAGAATTCAGTTCGTCCAAATTAGAAGGTGATATTTCATCTCTAATTGGCAAGTTCAAAAGGCCTCTATCGCACTCGGCGGCCTCGGGAATGTGTAATTAAACAAGGTGATTTCTGACTCACTGCAGGTTGGGCCTGACTTCTGGCGAGTGCCCGGGCCCTGCCCGGCCCGCGGGCCGACATGGCCTTCCCTAGCCCGGGCCTCTGCCGCCCAACCCACTCCCGGGCCCCAGGTGCTCTGGGGAGCGGCAGCCCAGCCCCGGCGC